CAGGGGCACGTCGGGGATGAAGCACGGCTGCTCCGCACGGGGCGGGAGGGATGGAGCTAGCAAGTGTCAGCACACTAGTCAACCCGTGCCCACCCTGCACGCCCAGCCTGGTGGCAGCAAGCCGGTCCCCACCCCAGGGGGCGCACCCAATGCACTTGCTACGCTCGCTAACGGCGCGTAGACCTCCGGAGCCGGCCGGCTGTTAGCGAGAGAACACGCTGGGCTGCCTGTTGCCATAAGAAACGTCAAGCCCAGGAAATTCAGCATGCTGCCCTGTGGGGTGCCCGGTGCCAGCAGCCTGCGTTCCTGGAGGAGGCCGTGCTGGGCGACCGGAGGGGTAACGCTGGCAGCCCTGGCAGAGCAGTGCCAGCGAGGGGCTGGGGGAGGCTCACAACTCACAGCTGCTACATCCCAACCCGGCAGGCCAACCGAAGGGCTGCACCCACACGTGGACCCTGCCCCTGCAAACGGGTCTGCTCTCAGCCCCCCGCACTACAGGCAGTGGAGGGTCCGTGCGGCTCCCACAGCTGCCTGTGCTCCCCAGCTGGGCTCCAAGCTGGCCTGGCTGGGGCCTTGAGGGGAAGAGGTGGGGTCCGCTCTGGCAAAAAGTGGGAGGGCCCTGGCCCCTCTGCTTCCCCCCACCCCCCAGTCCGGTGCCACTGGTCCCTGAGCAATTCAGTCTGTGTGTCAGGAATCAGAGCTCTCAGCAGAGCCAGCTCTGGGCAACCTAACGCCCACAGCAGAGCCAGCGCCCAGATATCCTAACGAGCACAGCTGGCTGCCTGACTGGCCCTTGGCTCTGCCGCCTGGGCTCTGATTCCTGGCGCACAACTCCCGTTCTAACCACTGGGCCTGACTCCCGCTCCAACCCTGAGGCCCAGCTGCCCCCGGCCCGGTCCCAGGACTCTGCTCCCCAGCGGGCAGTGGTGCAAACCCCGAGAGAGCGGGCACGGACGTGGGGGTGGGGAGCAGAAGACGGATGGCTTGGCAAGAACTTACCTAGGGGCCTGGTGAGTCTCCATCCCTTGGAGGCTTTACATCAGGGCTGGGTGTGGGTAGCGAAGATCTGCCATAGCTCAGAGGTTTGCCCTTGGCAGAATGTTTCCTCAGTGAGGTTCTGTGGGCTGGGTGCTGCAGGGCGGGGGGTCAGACTAGAGGCTCTAACGATCCTTTCTAGCTTTGACATCTAAGAAGGTGGGTAGCTGAGCGTGACGTGCACTGAGCTCGGAGCTCTCCGCTCTCACGGGAGGCAGGTTTTACGCCCGCCCTGCACAGATATAAACGACAACACACGGCACCAGGTGGGAGAATCCTAAGTGCCCTAAGTGTGTGTGTGTCAGTGTGTATGTGTGTTGTCCACCTAGGTGTGGCATACAGCACCCTCGGGAGTCCCATCGATGTGTCAGAAACACCCCTGAAACTCGCCAGCCAGCCCCGCTGGCATTTCCTTCTGAGCCCAGGATCCTCCCGGTACATTCTGCCATCAGTCTGGGGGTGGGAGATTGGCGGGAGCTGGCTGGAAAATATTCCGCCAATTTCGGCTTTGATTCTGGCTCTGGGCAGCGGGCGGGGCTGGGGCTGGTGATTTGTGAATCTCTCAGATATCTGGAAATTTTCTAAAAAACCGAGGAGCCCGGTGGCACCTTAAAGACTAACAGATGTATTTGGGCATAAGCTTTAGTGGGTAAAAAACCCACTTCTTCAGATGCATGTGGGTTTTTTACCCATGAAAGCTTCTGCCCAAATAAATCTGTTGGTCTTTAAGGTGCCACCGGACTCCTTGTTGTTTTTGTGGATACAGACTAACACGGCTACCCCCTGATACTTGGGAATTTTCTGTGACTATCACCGGGACCAAACCGCAGCCTCTGGCTCCTTCCCCTTTCCCAGGGCTGCTCTCCTGTATTTTGCGTGGAGCGTCTGCACCACAGTGCATCCCTCAGGCTTGGCTGAATGCCACAAACTCCGGCCGAAGCCGGGCGGACACAAAAGGGCTTGAAAGTGGTTGAATTCGCCTGACTCCCTAATACATGCAAACTAGCCATGCCTGGAATGCAGCCAACTCTAGCAATTAGCATCCAATGGAATAACAGCGAAGAATGACATCAGCCAAGCCACAAGCCAACCCCCCCCAGCTGGGGTCCTGCTTAGCGCCCATGGGTGCCTGTCTAGTGGGGTCTCGGCTAAGGGCCCCCCAGACACACACAGGCAGTTCAGAAATGTCACTCCCAGCTAGGGCAACGTGACTCCTGCAGTGAGCTGGCACCATCGGCTGAGGGGGAGTGAGCCCCTCCGGTCGCTGTCTCCACCTGGGATCGAGCTCCCTCATGCCCAGAGCTGGCTGCAAGAACAGCTCCTCGGCTGGCCCAAATCAGCGCAGCTCCATGGAGCCAGGGGCCAGGGCCATTCACTGCAGCCCAGGAGCGGGGCCGATGGGCCTGTCACACCAGAGCCATGTGGGGAGGGGCTGTCGCCCCCCAGCGCTGGGTTCCTGTGGCCGGCTCCCATTGCAAACCCTGGTCTAGCGTGCTGGGCTCGTTCAGGCAGCTGGATCTCTCGCGGCCCCACGCTCTGGGGCGGTGGGGGGCTGTGTTCCTCTGCAGGGGCCCCTCTGGACTCTCAGCCTCATGTTGCCTCTGGCAGCAGCTTCCCCCTCAGTGTCTGGAGCAAAGAAGGTACCTGGAGTGGAGCAAAGAGGCGGGGGTCAAATCCCTGCAGAGGTGAGGCCTGTGAGACTGGGCACACAGTGCCCCCCACCCCCGACACACAGACACCTGCCATCCCAGCTGTGATGTTATTGATATAATCTGGGACCATATAGAACATGGTTGCAACCAAAGTCCTGTAGTGGCACCAAATCTTGTATAAAGGGGGTCAAATGAGGTGTCTAAGACAAGGTTATGGTTTGCTGGTTATGATTATGCTGTCTATATGTGTGTATCAATTTTGAAGTTGAAGTTATAAATATTGGCTCTAAACTGTCTGTATTTCAAACTTATGCTATGCTGCTGGGTGACATCCCAGACAAGCTGGTGTCCGCTCTGCCTAGCCTGCTTGATGGCCCATTAAGGACCATCAGCTATACAATGGACCCATTGAGAGAAGGCAGATATGCCTTGTAACTCAACAAAGTATGCAGGGACTGGCCCATGTGACTCCAGACTCCATTTTGCTGTTTT